CTGGCGATAGCAACGCACTTCACAGCAAAAGTAGATTTACTGTAGCCCACTTTCTTAAAGGACGAATTCACGATGAAAAAGCAACCCATTTCAAATTAACCTAGGATGGTGAGTGGTACACGAAAGAAGGAAAAACCATGAGAAACGGCCCAGAACCCGAGAAATGGGACCCCTTCCTTGCCCGTTGATTTGAGCATTGATGCGACTCTCATCGCTGTGCCCTCTTCAACGCTGGTGCTCTCTGTTTATATTTTATTTCTATCCAGAAGAATCATAATTTGGAATATCATTCGGTTCTGAAAATTATCAAATATCTCCTATTTGTGAGCATCTCCCCTTTCATCATCTTCAATAGATATCTAATCACTCGCCGCGTATAGACCTGCGGCGAGTGATTAGATAGTCGGTGGGCGTACCGCGCCAACTGCGCCAAGAGTGAGCCATGCTAGATCGCCGAGGTCAAATCTTTCGCTGCCAATTGCGTGTCGGTCCGCACCCTCAGGAGGTCCGCCTGTCTCCCACTAGGCGATTTCCCCTTCTTCGACCTTCGTTCTATCGTGAAGTCCTTCTTTAACACATTGCGGACCACCTCTGTCTGAGTACATTCATCTTTTTTTATATTTTCAAAAATGTATCATCATTAATCTATCAACAATTTTATCAGTGATGACACGTATGGTTTCCCGGCTCTGAAAATGAGTGCAAACAGTTCAGAACATTGAAAAATGTCAAATAAATCAGATAAAACTATGCTGTTTCGTGCGAAATCGTGCGCCACATGGTGGCGCACGCGGTGCGCAATGTGTTAAAGTGGATTTCGTTCGCTTTTCAGAACCGGCTTTCAATCTTTTTCCTTGTTCCTTTTTTTGAGGAAAGTTTCACACGAAGGTTCATTCTCCGATCGCCTAGATATGGTGTCCACAGCGAGTAGCAACTGTTCCTTCCCCGGCCAGCTTTAATAATGAAGCCCCCCCCCCTTCGCGTGGCTGTTTTGGCTACTTGGCTGGCAACGGAGCAGGGGGCAGCCATGTTCTTGGCTGCATGCGAGACCACTGTTTCCGTAGATGAGATAGGAGCTGGTAAAGTTTCGGTAGCGATACTTGGTAGGCGGATCAACACAATCTTTCATATGCCCTACCTTCGGCTATATTTGTTTGCCGTAATTAAGGAAGGTTCTTACAGATCGTAATGCGCTTTTTCGAACGGTTTTTGCATCATAGAGACACTTTTACCAAACATGCGGACTACCTTTATTTTTGCGGGGACCTAAATCCACGGATCTCTTTCACTGAGGGTCCTCTCTCACTGAAAGATCTCGAGCCGGTTGGTGGCGAGGCTACGTGGCGCGACCCCAGGTGGCGGATAGGGGGTAAATCGCGGACCAAAAGCCACCATGTACTTGCCCTGAGACGCAGGTGGATTCAGGGGATGGACTCCCTGTTTCTGTAGTGCTGTGTCGATTCATACCAGCTGTCTCCACTCAGGCGCATCCATGCATGCTTGCGTGTGTGGTGCGCTCTGTGTGTGTGCGGTTGGTATCCTGCATGTCGGCACAGCCAAAAGCTTGCATTCAAGTGACTGGGAAGTACATGGGAGGCGATTCGGGGCCGCCTCCAAGAAATAAGTCCCTTGTTCCGCTCCAGGATAGCGTGGCTAACTACCTGGAGGTCTATCCTAGCCCGCACGACAGAGCCTGGCAAGCTACTCGTGTGCCTTCAATATGCCGAAAACAGCAATATGGATGGGCCTCATTCCCCTGAACCTGAGGGAGCCCCCAATACGGCAGCGTTGGGTAGGACCGCTCGGGAGAGGCTGCTAGAATCTCAGGGCCCGGATAGGCTGCCTAAACGAAGAAGGACTAAGATGGCGATCTGTACTTTCAACGCACGAACGCTTGCATCCGAAGCTCACATCGAAGATCTGATGATGCAGGCCAGGAAGATCAAGTACGACGTCATCGGACTGACCGAGACGAGAAGGCACCGCCCGCTACACGCCGTTTTCGATACTGGAGAAGAACTGTTCCTTGGAACATGCGACAGCAGAGGCGTTGGCGGTGTGGGTGTCCTCGTCAACACGCACTTGGCCATAAACATCGATTCGTACGAAAGCCTTACGACCCGAATCGGACGTTTGAGATTGAGAAGATGTGGTTCAACTCCTGCTTTGACAATCTTCGTCGCCTACGCACCAACATCCAGCTACGACGAAGAAGAACACGAAGCATTCTATATGGAATTGGAGAAGTTCTACAGGGAAGATCATACCTTCTTCAAGGTCATCGTCGGCGACTTCAACGCTAAGATTGGCCCAAGAAGAACGGCTGAAGAACTTCACATCGGTACTCACGGAATGGAATGGAATGAGCAGGGTGAGAGACTGTCGGAGTTTATCATGTCGACCAACACCATCCATGGTAACTCACAGTTCCAAAAGCCCCTCACCTTCGTTGGACTTGGGAGTCACCTGATGGACAGTTCCATAACGAGATAGACCACATCATCTTCAATCGAAGGTTTTGCCTGACCGACGTCGCTGTTGTTCCGAAGTTCTACACGGGATCAGACCATCGTCTCCTCCGCGCAAAGTTCCACTTTTCGATGCGTGTTGAGAGAGCCTCGAAGTTCAGGAAGCGAAGCCCCAGGACAGTCATCAACTGGGATCCACTTCGCTTCCCTCGTCAGCTTATGGGAGGATTCCGTCATCGAAAACATCGACGAGGAGTACTATCGGCTCGTTGAACATCTTCACGATTGTGGCAAGAAGGCAGAGAGTTTGAAAGTCACCAAGGGACGTCTGTCTCCGGAAACTCTCGAACTGATACGCCAGCGTGGAGCCGCACGAGCTGCAGGCAATCACCGACTCACGTCCGAGCTTGCGAAGCTATGCAGAGAGGCGATAAAGGAAGATCTCAAGGAGCGAAGAGCAGCAGTATTAGCTGAAGCAGCAGAGGCTGGGAGGAGCATCCGCAATGCCCGCCGAAGCTTTGCCAGCTACAAGACCAAGATGACCTGCCTCCGACGTCCGGATGGAACAGTCACTGCATCCCGAAGGGCAATGGAGAAAGTCATCCACGACTTCTACTCGGATCTCTTCGATAGCCATGTCCATCTGCCCACTTATCAACTGCAACAGGATGGATACGTCGTCCCCTCAGTTCTCTCTTCCGAAGTCCGACACGCCATCAAGTCGGTGAAGAATCGTACAGCACCCGGTCTCGACAGGGTCAAACCGGAACATCTGAAGAATGCGCCGCCAGTCATCATCAAAACTCTGGCTCGACTCTTCACGCGCTACCTGTCGGAATGCAAGGTACCCACTCCGTGGAAAACCAGCAGGACCGTGTTGCTGTACAAGAAGGGAGACCTGGACGACATTGGCAACTATCGCCCAATCTGCCTGCTGTCTGTAATCTACAAGCTATTCACTCGAGTCATCCTTAACAGGATCGGCAGAATACTAGATGAAGGACAGCCATGCGAGCAAGCAGGGTTTCGAAGAGGGTTCAGCACGATCGACCATATCCACACGGTTACAAGACTCATTGAAGTTTCACGAGAGTACAAGATGCCGCTTTGTCTCACGTTCATCGACTTGAAGAAGGCCTTCGACTCTGTGGAGACAGAAGCGGTCATCGAAGCCTTGGGCAACCAGGGCGTCCCTACTCAGTACATCAAGATTCTTCGTGAGCTCTACAGCAACTTTACGACCAGGAATCTCACCATTCTACAAGGAGGTCATCATCGACGTCAAGAGAGGGGTTCGACAGGGCGACACCATCTCGCCCAAACTCTTCAGCGCCGCTCTCGAGAACGTCATGCGTCAACTGG